GGTTGGTGGCTCCAACCGGGACTAAAGGTCCCTGCCACCTCTATCTGGCGCAGTAGCCGTTGGGGCAGGGACCTTAGTCCCGGTTGGAGACACCAACCGGGACTAAAGGTATTTCTAATCCCGGGCGCAAAAAATTCCGGGACTAGAGCCCATTTTGGCCGAGGATCAAAGGCCTGTTCTCTACTAGTGTTACTGTGTAAAAAAGAGCCAGAAAAAAATAAAAAACACGCTTTGCCGAGTGCCTCCCATCTGCCACTCAGCAAAGCAAGACTCCAAATATAACGCCGCCCCCCTCTTCTCCACGCCGCCCTCCCTTCTCCCTCTCCGGCCCCCGCCCCCTCCCTTCTCCCCATGGCGGGCTCCTCCCCTTCTCCCAGCATACCAGCGCCCCCCCCCCTTCTCCACAGCATGCGCATGCGCATCACCCCCCTCCCTTCTCCCCCCACAGCGCCAAGGCCGCCCCTCCCTTCTCCCTTGCCCCCCTCCACTCCTTCCCAGATCTGGTGGGCCCTCCCCCTCCCTTTCCCGGGTGGCGCCCCCCCCCTCTCTCTCTCGGGCGGGCGGATCCGGATCGCGCTGCCCTCTCCCCGGCCCAGCAGTGGCACCTCCCCCTCCCCTTCCGGGCGCTCCTCCACGCGCCTCCACCAGATCCGCCCCAGCGTGGCGGATCCGCGGCGACGGCGGCGCACGGGGAGGCCGGATCCGGCCCGTCGCGGGCGGACAGATCTGGCGTCGGCCCTCCTCTCCCAGCCGCGGCGGCACCTCCCCCTCTCCTTTCCCGGCAGCACTCCTCCACCGCCTCCACCAGATCCGGCCCCGGCGCGGGCGGATCCGGCGACGGTGGCACACGGGGAGGCCGGATCCGGCCCTGGCGCAGGCGGACGGATCTGGCGCGCGGCCCTCCTCTCCCGGCGCGGCGGCGCCCTCCCCCTCCCTTTCCTAGCGGTGCTCCTCCACCGCCTCCACCAGATCCGGCCCCGACGCGGGCGGATCCGGCGACGGTGGCGCACGGGGAGGCCGGATCCGGCCCCGGCGTGGATGGACAGATCTGGCCATGCGGCCTCCCTCTCCCGGCCAGCGGCGCAGCTCCCCCCCTCCCTTTCCCGGCGGCGCTCCTCCACCGCCTCCACCAGATCCGGCGCCGGCGTGGTGGCGGCGCGGCGAGGAGAAGACGGAGGCTTGTTTTTTTTATATTTTTCTGAAAAATTGTTTGCCTTTTTTTTATTTTTTTGAAAAAAAAGTGTGCCGTGTTTTTTTGCATTTGGCAACGTCTTTGCCGAGTGTCCGACAAAAAACACTCGGCAAACTAGCGCCGTTAAAGGGTTTGCCGAGTGTCGTTTGCCGAGTGTTTTTGGGTCTTCGCCGAGTGCCCCCGGCACTCGGCAAAGCTCCTGAATCCGGTAGTGACCGCTACTGGCAGGCGGCAGCTCGTGCTAGTCTCTCACCCATGGAGCGCTCCTGGCAGGCTGCAGCTCAACTCTAGTTCGTGGCGCTCCTGGATGGATATAGCCGGTGGCAGCTCAGCTTGAGTTCATGTCGCTCCTTGTGTTTTTTTTTCTCTCCTCTCAGTTTACAAAGTGAATTCAACGCTGCAACGAGCTTGGTTAGTGCACGAGCATTGCAGGAAAGTTTTCAAGAGGTCTGACCGCATTCTTTTTTTTCTCCAAAAGTACACGCCTTCTCACTGTTCCTCTGGAAAGGCGTTGGTGAATTCCTTCGTTCCAAATGCACGGACCCAATTCCTTTCCTCTAGAACCTAATCCTCTACATTTTCTATGATTTTCCTTCGTTCCAAACACCGCCTGATAGTTTACAATCAAGTTCTTCCCTACGGGTCTTTCTAGAAGGAGTGGATATGCGTAAACAGACCCAACAACACCCCAAAAAATTTATGGTGCTTAAGCCACACATTATTGGATTAGTTATCATTAGTCAAAGAGTGATGAACTGGGGTGTGTTTGGGACTGCGTCGGGGAGGCCACGTGGTGCGGTAGGTATGGGAAGCGCAAGTCCCAGTTCATTTTTGCGGTGGATGTGTCTCACGTGTTCAAAACAATCCAAATAATTGAAGAGGTGTTGGATGGGATTATTTCGATTCTCGCGGTGGAGCAGCTGCAGATCTGATTATAAGTTGAAAGAAACACGCCCCTTAAAAAGTTAGAAGAAGTTGCATGTGAACAGCAAAGCAGGTGGGGAAAAGGGAAGATAGCGACGAAGGATTAGTTCATAGAGAGTTTGAATTGTTCTGTTTGCCGACCCCCTGAACTTGGCCGATGGCCCTCTACTTATGCAGGCAGGCAACTGGAATACGTAAACTAGAAGACGTAAAGAACTTCATATATTGAACAATCACACTCAAGCTGGGCTGGGCTTCATTAGTTGGCGCAACGGCAGAAACCGAGGGCGCGAGGGCGGCCGCACATGAGGCTGGATGCGGGCGTCAACAACACCGTCACGCATCAAATCTCTCACGGTTCGAAGCTCGCCGCTCGCATCGGATCCTCGGTGGGGCTAGGCTTAGGCAGGACGTGGGGAGGGGCTGTTCGCCTCAGGAGTTATTATGTGCAGTAAAAATACTGAACTATCCTTAATTACTTTTTGGGTTCCAAATAATTTTGGAGGGAGAACCAGTAGTTCCTTTCAAGCACCGTAACAAAGCTCTTCTTTATCTGTTGCCAAATTTGTCAAGACCATTATTTGAAGTAGCAAAAATATAAATTTCTAGTAAAAACAAAAACAAACGGGTAGCTGGTAAACAGTCTCCATCCTCCGTCTGGATAAGGTACAGCTAGCCCGCTGCATGCTGAGGACGACAAGTAACAACTCTCTTGCTCAGGTATTGAATGAATTGACCACAAGTTCTCGTCTCTCATTAGCCAAATACATGTACTCCCTCCATTTCAACAATATTTCTTCATGGTCTTTCCCATTGAAGATATCAAGATCGTCATAATCGCGGTGTTTTACTCACTGCCATCGACTAAATGCTACGATTATGATTACATAAAACAGGGCTATGGAATGATTATTTTACATTGTTTATTACCAGTAGAGAACCGATCTTCGGTTTTGGCCTTTAGTCTTGGCAAGAGTTAGGCCCGTGACTAACGTGAGCATTAGTCCCGGGTAACATCTAGCGCCATAGGTGGGCGCGGAAGGGACCTTTAGTTCCGGTTGGTGGCCCCAACCGAGACCAGAGGGTGGCCTTTAGTCCCGGACTGCACCACCAACTGGTACTAAATGTCCACGCTATATATCCACATTTCTTTGTCCCCAAGCCCGAGCCATCTGGAACAATTCTTGAAGCTCGATCTCTCTGTTCTCTTGCTCTATTCTTGTTCTCGGCTATTTGTGAAGAGTTCATTTCTCCATCCATTTTTGGTTCTAAAGATTAGCGCGATTTCATCCTCTCATCTTTTATTGTTAATGTAGCTTCATAGGTTAGAAATGTAGAAATTTGTGGTTTTTTTAATTAGGAAAAATGGTGGAGTTTTTATTTATATGTCATTTCTACATAACCCTAAACATCTGCAATGATTTCTATATCTTTGTTGTTATCTTTACCGGTCGACATTTTTTCAACATTTTACGGAAACCTTAATATTAGTTCTTGATGAGAGTTAATAATCGATTAAAATAAATTGTGTGACAACACGTAGGGTGCCAACACAAATGTTAGGACACAAATGTTGATATATATATTCTTAGTAAAATTTATATAAGACATTAATTATGTTAACATGCAGGATTAATGTTAAGACACATTAGTGCATTTAATGAGCTTTACTGCAAAATACATAACTTTAGTTGGCACATATGTATCTTTTGGCACATTATATATATGTTTCTCTAATATATTACATAGTATTTATATGGGGTTCCATGTTTATCTGGACATTTTTTCACTTTTATCAGGTATGATGAAGGGCGGACCACACGTGCTGCAGGCACCTGTTTTCCACCTTGGTGATCTATAAATCGAGCCAAATATGGTCGTTCTACAGTTCAGATCCAGCTGTAGTATGAAATATCACCATTTAAGTTTTGCATGCTAATGAATCTATTTACCAAAGTTCTTTCATATATACATTCATTCATAGTATGATGGTTGCATATGTCACAGAATATACCCGTGCGTTGGCTGGAATCAGCACTGTAGTTGCTCAGTTGTGAGAAATCCATGTTGACACGACAAGTGAGGTCTTGAATGCTGAAAGTGATCGGTTATGGATGTGTAATATCGCCTTTGACATGCCTCTTAGAGGTGTACTAGGGCAGCGAACAGAAATCCTACAGATAGGACGACATATACCGAACCGGAGAGGTGCGGAGTTCAATACTGTGATGCGTTATTTGCAAGCAAGCATTGGCTATCAAGTGCCTGATTACTCATTCTCCAAGATACAAGTAGCTTTACGTGCCGAACATGGCGCAAGTAAGAGAATGGGTTGCTACATACAACCAAATGGATGTGGTAAAGTCATGTATGATATAAAAACCCAAAGATAATCAGTTTGCAATACGCTGTGGCAGCTTTACAAAACAAAGTATACTCCAAAATGTGTACATCGAGTGAAAGGGCTTTTGGTCTGGTGATAAGACTACTCAACGGGACGCTACCCACTAGGGTTCAAACTTGGTGTAATTGTACCCTCTCAAAAAAAAAGTGTTCACGGACCTGAAATCAATTTCACCAAAATTCTCAGAACTTTGGCGAGAGGGCAAACCCTAGCAATTCAGGCTGTGGAGCATGGGTACGTGTTTGGTGAGTGGTTCGTAAAGAGTTGTACCGTGTGGAAGCCTAGTGGACCTAAATAATTCTTCTCTCGAGTCAGTCTGGCCACAGTCTTATAAATGAATTGCGCGCAGAGAGTTTTTTGCTGCGATCCATATTATCGAAAAGAAAGGGAAACAGAATGCCTCGCCGCCGTCGCGGGAGGAGGCCCCACAGCAATTTCGAGAATGACTGTTGTTGCTGGGCTTTGTGTTGTTGCTGCGGCATGTGTTGTTTCTCCTGTGACTGTGAGTATATCGAGAACCCCGAGCAGAAGTGCGGGTTCTGGGAGTTCTTGACCTTCGTCTACGCCCTCATCGACTACTTCATCCCAATCAGCCTGGTTTCGGTTCTACTCTGGGTCCTCCTCCGCCCCGACAACTTGCGGCCGCGGGTGGACGCTGCCGTCGTCGTCAGTTTCAGCCTCGACAACACAACCTCCTCGCTCAGCCTCGACAACACAACCTCCTCGCTCGACTACGACAACGCCATGTATCTGACCTTCCAGAACCTGCACAGACACCTCGACGTCCGGTACCTGGACCTCATAGCGGTGGCATCCTACAGCGGGACACGGCTTGGCCCGAGCGTCGACGTGCTGCCCATCTTCGTCCAGCGCCCCAAGGCATCCAACATTGTCCACGCCAACTTCCAGGGCAGCGCCACTCCGCTAGCCCCGGCAGCAGCCGCGCTGTTCACCAGGGAGGCCACCAACGGCTCCTTCAACGTCCTCGTGACGGTGGACTCGACGTTCATGTACATGTTCCCATTTCAGAAGACTGTCTACTACTTCGACCATGAGTGCTACATCCGTTTCCTGGCGGCGAACAGCGGTGTGACGCCGCCCGCTACCGTATTGACGCCGGGGACGCTTTGCAGCGCCACAGCACGGTGAGTCAGCTAGCTATATAGCTAGCTGTTTCATCGCCCTGGGTATTGCATTCGGGCACCGCATCATCCGCTAGTCGCTACCATGATAAATAATCTTTTTTTTTTGTTTCGTATGTAAGTCTTGACTTTTGGGTTGTTCATGCATGGGATCTAAATGTAATCGAAAATTTCAACGAAATGATCGACAAATCCAGAAGGAATCTATCACTTTCGCCTTATAATCAGTTTGCCGAGCCGATGAATACCAGCCGCTGGATGGCGTCAAGTTGACGAGGCGCCAGTTTAATCAGACGTCCACTAATACTTGTTAGGTACCGAGTACTCAGGCCTTGTTTAGATCCTTCGCTAAAACTTTATACCCTGTCGCATCGAATTTTCGGACATATGCATGTAGTATTAAATATAGACTAAAAAATACTTAATTGCACATATTGCGACTACTTTGTGAGACGAATCTTTTAAGCCTAATTAGTCCATGATTTAACAATAAAGTACTACAGTAACACATGTGCTAATGGCGGATTAATTACGCTTAATACATTCGTCTCATGGTTTATTGACGGATTCTGTAATTTATTTTTTTATTAGTATGCGAACACCTCATACGACACTCAATCTAACATATCGATGTAACACCCCAAAACTTTACAGCCTGCATCTAAACACAGCTAGCAACTGCCAGCCATCAGGCCGACCATGCCGTGCCCATGCATGCACCCGCGCCGCTCGTGTAATTAAGGATACGGCTGCTCGCGTATATCCGCCCTGTTTGTTTGGGCTGGTTTGGCTTATAAGCCATGGCTGAAAGTACTGTTGGCTGGTTTGATGTGAGAGAAAAATACTGTTCGTTGGCTGATAAGCCATGGCTTATAAGCTAAATACGACCAAGCGAACAGGCAGATCGTTTGTAAGCTAGTCATGTACTATACAGAATATGTTCAGGTACTGTGTCTATGCTCTTTTCCTCCGTCCCTAATCTATATGTATATCAATACCTAATATTAAAGAGCTAAGATTTTTCTTACATTCTGCTTATTTTTTACTTTCTAAAGTACCCTCGTGCCCCCTGTATCTTGTATGCGACTTAGACTAATGACCTATGCTTCCAGAACAACTCTTGTTTGACAATGGTAAGGAGACACCGATTCCAATGTGTTTTGAGCTCCACAATTGCAACACACGGGCACGTTTGTTGGAAAATAGATATAGGACTCATGATCCATGCTCAACAAGTTAGAACAACTCGTGTCGTCTAGCAAAGCAGACTTCAATTGCAAGAGAGATCATCATATGACGTATACTAGTAGAAGTAGCGTTTGAAAAGTACTCTAACTAGCTATTTCCATTAAAGTGCTCGCCTGTTGGGTAGGAGTACTGCTCTGCTCCGCCAACCAACACGTGGAGCAACTCTACTGCAGAGTTTTTGTGGAGCAAGCAGTCCTAGAGGGTGTTTGGATCCGGTGACTAAAATTTAAGAGGTGTCACGTGAGGGTATCGCATAGAGTGTTTGGATACTAATAAAAAATAAATTACATAATCCGTTAGTACTACACGAGATGAATTTATTAAGCCTAATTAATCCGTCATTAGCACATGTTTACTGTAGCACTGCATTATCAAATCATGGACTAATTAGGCTTAAAAGATTCGCCTCGCAAATTAATCGCAAGTTGTGCAATTAGTTTCGTAATTAGTCTGTATTTAATACTTCATGCATGCGTCCAAACATCCGATGGGACCACGACTAAAGTTTAGGAGGAGAAACCAAACACGCCTAGTCATGTTTATCGAGCAGCCTACGAGTAACTCTTAACTCTTAGCTCTAGGATCCTGACGTTTCTCTAAGAAAGGTCGGAATGATGTTTGGCGTATGTTTTTGATGTACGTGGAGCATGTGTAGCCGAATAACTTTTTTACCTATTCAAATATGATGTAAACTATCCTCCGTTTCCAAATACTGACACTTGGCAATTTTGACCGTGGCACGGAGCCCAAGACAGCCCACTTGTGTTGTAAAAATTGACCAAAATGTCCCTATGTTAAAATTGCTATATAAGAGTGTAGAAATTTCTAGAATAAGCAACGGTGAGAAGGGTAGACCCTACCAAGGGCAAAATTAGAAATGCAATCTTGGAAAACGCGTAGTGCCAAGTATTTAGAAAATTGAAAAGTGGTCAAAAGTGACAGGTACTTTGAAACGGAGGTTGGTATTATCGAATTTGGATCAAAGTCAAACCCAGCGAAGTCCAAGTCTTCACCGCCATGCTCACGAATGAAGTCGTGAAGGACCATAGTAGCGACAACAAATTTCCTATGAACAGTCTCACCCGAGTGCTTTCATTTCTAGCACATATATGTACGGATGGTTTCAGACCATACTATCTCCCAACCAATAAATCATGAAGGACGTAGAACATTTCTGTGCTCAACCGAACCTGCGAATGACACTCACCAGGTGTGTTCACTGTCTCCAGCAACCAGCCCATATCACTGAGGTTGCAAGTCCTAGGTGGATTTTTGTTAAAATATAAATCAACATAACCTGCAGCAAGTTTAGCACCACCCATTGCAAGATTCCAAAATGCCATGCTCTCACTATTAGAGTCGCTTTGGTCACTACCAGTTTCGTCACTCTGCACACAGAGACAAAAAAAAAACATATATATTGCCAATTAGAGACAAAAAAAAAAAGCAATACAGACAGAAAAAAAAGGACATGCAAGTTGCCAAATAGCAATACATACCTCCTGGACCTCCTCATCCCCCTAAAATGTTGGCATCAAATGGGTCACCTTGGGCAATATTCTCTCCACCTCCATATTCACTATCTACATCAAAAGGTTGCTCTTGAGTACTAGGGATAATAGGATTGTCACTAATAGGGTTCCAATGATCTGCTTCCACATTTGTAATTTCTAAACATTTTCCTAAGCAAATCCTCATTTTGGAGAGGCTTTTTCCTAAACTTGCCACACCCTGGAATATATCCTGTATAATAAAAACACAAACATCAGTACATATATCAGTACATACATCAGTACATAATTATTTAATTATTGACAATTTGACAACACTCACATTTCTTGCCTTCTTCCACCACTCAATCTCCATGTCAATTGTTTTTGTCGCATTATTCCAATCAGTACCTATTTGCCTCCTCTTCAACTTTAGCCAAATGGTCTGATCAGCCTCTAATTTATCCCACTTGTTCTGGCTGTGGCTTGGGTCATGGCAGCCTGGGCGCCTGTTGGCTGGCCGTCCGTGGCCACCAAGTGTGGGGCAGTCGTCGGCCCTGTGCGGCAGTAGCCGGCCAGGCACGGCCAGCAGCCGGCAACAGGTGGCCAGCAGCCATCCCTGGCTGGTCGGAGGTGGCCGGCGGCGCCGCCTGAGGAGGCCACGGCAGCCCCACCCTTGGCGCCGGCGAGCTACCTGGACTCGCGGTGGCGGCGGTAGTAGCTTCAGGCGCAGTTTGGGAAGACAGGAAGGAGGCGTTTTGGGCGCCAGAAAAGACGTCATCCGGTAGAGGATCACTGGATCTAGCACCTCCGTCCGTCACCTCGTCGGAGTGCTCGCCAAGGCGGCCGGATTTAGAGGCGACGCGGGCTACGGTTGGGGAAGAAAGGCTCGAGCGCCAGAAACAAAAGGGGTCGGGTGGGAGATGGGGAAAACAGAATGAAACGTTACCTTGTGTAATCGATGGTGGCAGCGGTGGGTAATTAGCCCTCAGCTCTATAAGGACATACAAAACGCTAGTTTCTAGAGTACCCTTGAGGAGCTCCGACAAAAATATAGAGTTGGCCCTCAACTCTACCTTTTTCTGGGAATATTACTTCAAATATTCTATGTACTATTGAAAACTTGTGTTGAACCCTGAATCGATCAAGAAAAAGGTTAAAGTTGCAGTTTTCTGTTAAATGCGCAAAACTTCGTCTGATTTTCGCCGATTCTCGCTCATAGATTTGGCATTTTTCACCAAATTTCGGATAAGTTTTGGTGTGTCAGTTTGAATTGGTTTGACACATTTTTGTACAAACATCGAAAATCGGCGAAAATCGCTTCTACCACAGGGGTCCGATATTTCTTCACTTAACGATAGCCTGAATCTCAAGCATGGATGGTGGATGCGTGACCGCGTGTGGATCGAACGACCCTGGTTTCAGGGTGACGTGGCCGCTTGGAGGAATGATGAATAGTGAATAGTACCGACGCGAGAAACATAAGGTTTTATATGATGAGGTAGATCATATTACAAATTAAAGTGTCAAAAGAGATAGCCATCCACAATGCTAGCTAGTATTAAATATTTTACTCTCTGTCCACCAATGCGTGTTTTAAAATTTGTCTGTCCATGAATGTGTGTTTATAATTTGTTAGGATTTCTGCAAGAAAAATGTCTCATCAATTACCTCCCCTTTAAATTTCTTTCCATTTTACCCCAATCGCCCTTTCAACTTCAATCAGCCCTCATTTAGCGAAGGGCATCACAATCTTTTCTTCTTAACCTTAATCTCATTTAATGAAGGGCACCATGCACATTCTTTTTTCTTAATCTTAATCTCTGGCAAGCAAAGTTTGTATTTGTTGACGGAGGATTGCTACGTAGCTCTGACACCTCCTTCTTGCTTGATTTATTTTAGTTTTTCCAAGTCTTAAAGATATGACTTCAACTAGTTTAATTTTTTTTTTCAATTTGGATTATGTATAACGATGAAATCTCTTAATACAAATCACGCACCAAAAGCGAGCCAGCGAGAGTGGCCACGTCGCTCGCCGTTCCAGGCCATCGGATTGGGCGCATCGACGGCCCAGATCGAGCCCTGGCAAAGCGGGTGGGTGGCCAGCGGCCCCAGCGCGAGTGGGGTGCGGGCGACGCCTGCGCCGCAGCCGAGGTGTTCCTGGCCATCCCCGGCTGCCGTGCCGCGGTCGCGACCGAGCTGCGCCGCTGCAGCCAGGCCTGTGCTCGTTGCCAGCAGGCCACGGGCCGTCTCCGGCCGAGGCACGGCTGGCCCCGGTGTCCGCGCGGGACCAACGCAGCTCACCGATAGACCAGGCGTCGGCGCTGAGGCCGTCCCCATCCGGATCGACGCCGGCGTCGGCACCCTGTTGGGTTTACACAAGAGTAGATGAAAAGCAACTTTAGGCTTGCGTATCAGCACGAGAAGGGCTGTCACCACCATGTTGGGTTTAGCAATTAATTAGGGCGTAGAAAATAATTGTCTAGGATTTTGTTTGGAATCTTTGGATGCGTGGGTGGACCAGGGGCGCTAAAAGACAAGAGTAGATGAAAAGCAACTTTAGGCTTGCGTATCGCACGTGAGGGGCCTATCACCACCATGTTGGGTTTAGCAATTAATTAGGGTGCAGAAAATAATTGTCTAGGATTTTGTTTGGAATCTTTGGATGCGTGGGTGGACCAGAGTTGAGAGCCAACGTCAATAGGCCGGATGGTTAATTGCTATTTACAAAAAAATTGACATGTCACCTAAAAGCTGGAGGCCAAGATTTTTGCAGGCGAAAAAACAAAGGTACAGTACGTGTTAACACTGGTGAAAGAAGATTTGTACAGGCGAAAGGCGGCGAAAGATTGCACAGTCCGTGTTAATTTTATGGGAGAATTATGTATTTGGCACTGAAACAAATCAGTCTTCCGCAATTGGCACTAAAAAAATTGGACTTTCTTATTTGGCACCAAGTTAAAATTTTCTTCCCTAGATAGCACTGCCGTCCATTTGGTCTAGTAACGGCGTCAAGTGGCTGGTAAAATTATAAATGCCCTTCTTTGTAGCAGAAATACGGGAAATAATTGATGGACGGTCATCGGAGAAATTGCCCAGGCATTGCCTCATGAGACCCGACCCTCCGGTCAAAGACCTTGCGTATGCGTGATCTCATGCTACCTGTTTCATCACGATGACGGCTCCGTCCCTTGCACCGAGCTAGCGGCAGTTCTGTCGGTCCGGTAGACTGATGGCATCCTTTCCCCCCTCTGGGTATCAATCGGCGACGGCCAGAGGCCAATCCGCCGGCAGTCCGGCACCGTGCTCCACAGACTCCCATGCTTTAGTTCCTTCCATGCAGCTTCCTCCCCTAACTCTTTTCGACCTTTCCATACCGCTTTTTTCCGTCCCAGACAACCACGGGGTAAATTAAGAACAGCGCACAATTAGCAGGCACCGCAAGTTATTTCCTCGCATCTTTCTACCTCGCTCGCAGAGAGGAGCTAGTGTGCAGTGCGTGTCTAGGTATAACAACAGCCCGAGCACGTAGCAGCTCGCCAACTGTGGGTTTTCTAGATCGACGGCATGGTGGTCTAGGGACTATAGGGTCAATCGATGGCGTCGTCGGGCAGCGACGTGCTGGCGGCAAGGGCGGCCGTGGCGCGGTACAATCTGACCGAGGCGGGCGATGGCGCGGCGAGGCTCAGGAACTATCTGCTGCAGCTGGATGACCAGCGCGTGGCCGAGGCACGGCTGGCCCCGGTGACCACGCAGGACCAGCGCAGCTCGCCGGCAGACCAGGCGTCGGCGCTAATAATCATGCTCCAAATTTTATTTGGCATCTGTATAATAATATTTGAGAAACCAAATCAACCAAAGGTTTATTTCCACCGGTTAAAATCCATGCATGTGATTATACTCTTAAATGACCACGTCAATGATCGTTGTTGCCCATTTACAAAAATTCGATATTTTTTTTGCAAATTCTATACTTCATATAAAAATTGCTTATATGACTAACACAATACATATCAATAACATCCACTATTTTATGGCTAAACGGGTAATTTAAATACATACACTAACATTTGTATATATTCACGTATCTACGAAGGTCGCGCCATATTACTACACATAATTTCCACCTATAATCTTTTCACGTACGTTTTCTTGCAAACCAAGGATTTGTCTTACCAACGTTGCTTCAAAAAACATACATCTGTCTACGTACAATTATTATTACTCCGTGCATGAAATACATTTTTTATCAACTATAATACTTCGACATAACACAGGCACTGCACGGCAACGCCGCGCGCCTTTCTAGTGATAGTACTATAAAAGAATTCATGATAAATAGAATGGCAATTTTATATATAAATGGCAAACATATTATTTATCAAAGTTTGAAAGGTTGACAAGACAAATTCTACAGAACATAAGTAGCAGTTGAGGTTATGACGTATCCAAGCTTAAGTGACTAACAAACACGAAAATTATGTAAAATAGCACAAGACAAAGATCTAGCAACCCTTATTATATATCTGGCCCCCTGTCTAACTTTCTTGTGCGTTAGGTTATTCCTCTTTCGCCTCTTCCACTGAATCCATAGGAGGTGCTGCAGCTTTCATCTTAGCCTTCTTCAGTGTTTCCACTAAAACTGCCAAGCAGTCATCTGCTTCTCTCCTCTTGACCCGCAGCATGAGGTTACCGGCCACGTCTGCCGGAGTTGTGTCGATCTCATCGAGCAGTTGCCCGATTTCACCGAATAGTGAATGCTCAGTGATGTCTTGATAGCTCTTAGCGAGCATTTTGAAGGCCTCGAACCGGCAGTAGGACATCTCAATGTGCCTGTCCATCCTACCCCGCCGGATCAGCGCCGGGTCGAGCCGGTCAACGTGGTTCGTCGTGAACACGAAGATCCGCTCGCTGCCGCACGCCGGCCACAGCCCATCGACGAAGCTGAGCAGCCCCGACAGCGTCACTTTGCCTTTGTTATTCTTCTCTCGACAGCTCTATCACCAGGTGGTTGTCGCCGCCTCTCTTGGCTGCCTCCTTGCCCTTGCGCTTGGTGGTGAGTTCGACCTCGATCGCGTCGATGTCCTCGATAACGATGATGGATCTGTCCATCGTATCAAGGAAGAGCTTCCGCAGCTCGGCGTTGTCCTTGATGGATGTTACGTCGAGGTCGTAGACATCATACTCGAGGAAGTTGGCCATAGCCCCGATCATGGTGGACTTGCTCGTGCCCGACGGCCCATGCAGGAAGTATCCCGCTTCCACGCCTTGCCGACCTTGGAGTGGTACTCGCGCCACACGGAATGCCGTGAGATCCTCCATGATCTCGATGTTCTTGCTGTGGTCCATGGCGAGCATGTCGAACGTCGCCGGGGATTGTACGGGACATTGATCCACCTGCTCTTCCCTTCTTGGGAGTGGTTGGTGAACAGTAGCCTCTGCCGGTTCGTGGCGATTATCTCGCCCACTGCCGGACGATTCTGGGCAGGTAGGAGTCGAGCACAAGTTTTCGTTGGCGCTTGTGAAACACCAGCCTGTAGCACCGAGGCTCATCGTCGGAATCCCCTGGCAACAAGCTGATGACGGTGGCCCCCCTGTTCTTGGTGGATTTGGGGCACAGCCTCCACCACATGCGGGCTCCGTCGAAGTTGTCGACGACCTCCTGGTTTTTGTCCAGTCTGATAAGCGGGTCGTCCTTGCTGTTGTTGCCGAGCTCGCCCTTGAGCTTGCTTGCATGATCCAAGCACGCCCTTCTCAGGTAGGTGGAGACGGCGCAGAACATTTTGTTCCATTCGAACCGCTCTTCACCGTACTCGGAGACGGTGATCTGCTCATAGGGGTTGAAGTAGGACATCACCATGGGAACCAAGCTACTGATGATGTGCCTAGCCTCATCATGGACGTGTTGCGGCATCCTCGACCAAAGCAAGCCGAAGCCAGCCATGGCCAACCCGAACCCTACCCACTTCTCCACAGATAACACCATGAATGCGCACTGCAGCCCCTACTCACCTAATCAAGCTAGCTAGCTCTCTGTAATGGTTGCCATTGTGGCTGTGTAAGTTTACTGTTACTTCTATGCCCTCGACTTATATAATCGGTGATTTGGCGCATAAATTATCCGCACGGCATCGTCGAAATTTCGTCGAAGCAAGTGCAAGAGGTGCTATTTAGACTTAGATGACAAGAAGTAGAAATTGCGCCGGGGGCGCTAAAAGACAAGATTAGATGAAAAGCAACTTTAGGCTTGCGTATCAGCACGAGAGGGGCTATCACCACCATGTTGGGTTTAGCAATTAATTAGGGCGTAGAATATAATTGTATAGGATTTTGTTTGGAATCTTTGGATGCGTGGGTGGACCAGGGGCGCTAAAACACAAGAGTAGATCAAAAGCAACTTTAGGCTTGTGTATCAGCACGAGAGGGGCCTATCACCACCATGTTGGGTTTAGCAATTAATTAGGGTGCAGAAAATAATTGTCTAGGATTTTGTTTGGAATCTTTGGATGCGTGGGTGGCTGGTAACGGCGTCCATTTGGTCTAGTAACGGGCGTCAAGTGGCTGGTAAAATTATGAATGCCCTTCTTTGTAGCAGAAATACGGAAATAATTGATGGACGGTCATCGGAGAAATTGCCCGGGCATTGCCTGCGAGACCCGGTGACCCTCCGGTCAAAGACCTTGCGTATGCGTGATCTCATGCTGCCTGTGTCATCGCGATGGCGGCTCCGTCCCTTGCACCGAGCTAGCTGCAGTTCGGTCGGTCCGGTAGACTGATGGCATCCTTTCCGCCCTCTGGCTATCCATTGGCGACGGCCAGAGGCCAATCCGCCGCGAGTCGCTCCGTGCTCCACCGACTCCCATGCTTTAGTTCCTTCCATGCAGCTTCCTCCCCTCACTCTTTTGAACCTTTCCATACCGCTTTTTTCCTGCCAGACAACCACGGGTAAATTAATAACAGCGCACAATTAGCGAGCACCGCAAGTTATTTCCTCGCATCTTTCTACCTCGCTCGCAGAGAGGAGCTAGTGTGCGATGCGTGTCTAGGTATAACAACAGCCCGAGCACGGCTTGCTTTCATGCCAACTGTGGGTTTTCTAGATCGACAACATGGTGGTCTAGGGACTATAGGATCGATCGATGGTGACGTCAGGCAGCGACGTGCCGACGGCAAGGGCGGCCGTGGCGCGGAACGATCTGACCGAGGCGCGTGATGGCGCTGCGAGGCTCAGGAACTTCCTGCCGCAGCTAGACGTCCAGCGCGCGGTGTGGGCGCAGCTGGAGATCGACGACGTCCAGACCAAGCTGTCGAGCGCGATGTCGGCATTGGATGTGAGCGCCAGGTCGGACGGTGCGAGGCCACAACAGTCGGGGAGCTCGTGCGGGAACAAGAGGAAACAAAGTTCCAGCAAAAGGTGAGCAGCTTGGCCGCTCAGGAAGTCCGCGTGAGTAACAGAGGGTATGTTGGTCACACTAAGAAAAAACTGACACGGTCAAATTAGTCAACTAACAGATGAATGGATGAAATGGACGGTAGTGTCATATACGGGTCGCTAAAAGACAAGAGTAGATGAAAAGCAACTTTAGGCTCGCGTATCAGCACGAGAGGGGCTATCACCACCATGTTGGGTTTAGCAATTAATTAGGGTCAGAAAATAATTGTCTAGGATTTTGTTTGGAATCTTTGGATGCGTGGGTGGACCAGGGGCGCTAACAGACAAGAGTAGATGAAAAGCAATTTTAGTCTTGCGTATCGGCACCAGAGGGGCCTATCACCACCATGTTGGGTTTAGCAATTAATTAGGGTGCAGAAAATAATTGTCTAGGATTTTGTTTGGAATCTTTGGATGCGTGGGTGTACCAGAGTTGAGAGCCAACGTCAATAGGCCGGATGGTTAATTGCTATTTATAAAAAAATTGACATGTCACCTAAAAGCTGGAGGCCAAGGTTTTTGCAGGCGAAAAAACAAAGGTACAGTACGTGTTAACACTGGTGAAAGAAGATTTGTACAGGCGAAAGGCCGGCGAAAGATTGCACAGTCCGTGTTAATTTTATGGGAGAATTATGTATTTGGCACTGAAACAAATCAGTCTTCCGCATTTGGCACTAAAAAAATTGGACTTTCTTATTTGGCACCAAGTTAAAATTTTCTTCCCTAGTTAGCACTGCCGTCCATTTGGTCTAGTAACGGTGTCAAGTGGCAGGGAAAATTATGAATGCCCTTCTTTGTAGCAGAAATACGGGAAATAATTGATGGACGGTCATCGGAGAAATTGCCCAGGCATTGCCTGCGAGACCCGGTGACCCTCCGGTCAAAGACCTTGTGTATGCGTGATCTCACGCTGCCTGCGTCATCGTGATGACGGCTCCGTCCCTTGCACCGAGCTAGCGGCAGTTCGGTCGGTCCGGTAGACTGGTGGCATCCTTTCCCCCCTCTGGGTATCCATCGGATACGGCCAGAGGCCAATCCACCGGCAGTCCGGCACCGGGCTCCACTGACTCCCATGCTTTAGTTCCTTCCATGCAGCTTCCTCCCATCACTCTTTTCAACCTTTCCATACCGCTTTTTTCCCTCCCAAACAACCACGGGGTAAATTAACAACAACGCACAATTAGCAGGCACCGCAAGTTATTTCCTCACATCTTTCTACCTCGCTCGCAGAGAGGAGCTAGTGTGCAGTGCATGTCTAGGTATACCAACAGCCCGAGCACGAAGCTGCTCGCCTACTGTGGGTTTTCTAGATCGATAGCATGGTGGTCTAGGGACTATAGGATCCATCGATGGCGTCGTCGGGCAGCGGCGTGCCGGCGGCAAGGGCGGCCGTGGCGCGGAACGATCTGACCGAGGCGCATGACGGCGCGGCGAGGCTCAGGAACTTCCTGCCGCAGCTGGACGACCACCGCGCGCGTGGGTGCATCTCTGAGATCGACGGTGTCCTGACCAAGCTGTCGAGCGCGATGTCGGCATTGGATGTGAGTGCCAGGTCCGGACGGTCGAGGCCACAGCGGTCGGGGAGCTCGTGCGGGAACAAGAGGAAACAAAGTTCCAGCAAATGGTGAGCAGCTTGGCATTTCGGGAAGTTCAAGGAGAAATTGGATGCGTGAGTAACAGAGGGTATGTTGGTCACACTAAGAAAAAACTGACAAGGTCAAAATAGTCAACTAACAGATGAAATGGACGGTAGTGTCATATAGGGGTCGGTAAAAGACAAGAGTAGATGAAAAGCAACTTTAGGCTCGCGTATCAGCACGAGAGGGGCTATCACCACCATGTTGGGTTTAGCAATTAACTATGGTGCAGAAAATAATTGTCTAGGATTTTGTTTGGAATCTTTGGCTGAGTGGGTGGACCAGGGGCGCTAACAGACAAGAGTAGATGAAAAGCAATTTTAGGCTTGCGTATCACCACGAGAGGGGCCTATCACCACCATGTTGGGTTTAGCAATTAATTAGGGTCCAGAAAATAATTGTCTAGGATTTTTTTTGGAATCTTTGGATGCGTGGGTGGACCAGGGGAGCTAAAAGACAAGAGTAGATGAAAAGCAAAGGCTTGCGTATTAGCACGAGAGGGGCCTATCACCACCATGTTGGGTTTAGCAATTAAATAGGGTCCAGAAAATAATTGTCTAGGATTTTGTTTGGAATCTTTGGATGCGTGGGTGGACTAGAGTTGAGAACCAACGTCAATAGGCCGGATGGTTAATTGCTATTTTTAAAAAAATTGACATGTCACCTAAAAGCTGGAGGCCAAGATTTTTGCAGGCGAAAAAACAAAGGTACAGTGCGTGTTCACCCTAGTGAAAGAAGATTTGTACAGGCGAAAGGCCGGCGAAAGATTGCACAGTCCGTGTTAATTTTATGGGAGAATTATGTATTTGGCACTCAAACAAATCAGTCTTCCGCATTAGGCACTAAAAAAATTGGACTTTCTTATTTGGCACCAAGTTAAAATTTTCTACCCTAGATAGCACTGCCGTCCATTTGGTCTAGTAACGGCGTCAAGTGGCTGGTAAAATTATGAATGCCCTTCTTTGTAGCAGAAATACGGGAAATAATTGATGGACGGTGATCGGAGAAATTGCCCAGGCATTGCCTGCGAGACCTGGTGACCCTCCGGTCAAAGACATTGCGTATGCGTGATCTCACGCTGCCTGTGTCATCGCGATGACGGCTCCGTCCCCTGCACCGAGCTAGGGGCAGTTCGGTAGGTCCGGTGGACTGGTGGCATCCTTTCCACCCTCTGGGTATCCATCGGCGATGGCCAGAGGCCAATCCGCCGGTAGTCCGGCACCGGGCTCCACTGACTCCCATGCTTTAGTTCCTTCCATGCAGCTTCCTCCCCTCACTCTTTTCAACCTTTCCATACCGCTTTTTTCCCACCCAGACAACCACGGGGTAAATTAAGAACAGCGCACAATTAACAGGCACTGCAAGTTATTTCCTCGCATCTTTCTACCTCGCTCGCAGAGAGGAGCTAGTGTGCAGTGCGTGTCTAGGTATAACAACAGCCCGAGCACGAAGTAGCTCGCCAACTGTGGGTTTTCTAGATCGACGGCATGGTGGTCTAGGGACTATAGGATCGATCGATGGCGTCGTCGGGCAGCGGCGTGCCGGCGGCAAGGGCGGCCGTGGCGCGGAACGATCTGACCGAGGCGCGCGACGGCGTGGCCAGGCTCAGGAACTTCCTGCTGCAGCTAGACGACCAGCGCGCGGCGTGGGCGCGGCGAGGCTCAGGAACTTCCTGCTGCAGCTGGACGACCAGCGCGCGGCCGAGGCACAGCTGGCCCCGGTGACCGCGCGGGACCAGCGCAGCTCATCGGCAGACCAGGCGTCGGCGCTGAGGCCGTCCCCATCCGGATCGACGCCGGCGTCGGCACCCTGCGTGCGTGCTCTGCTCTGCTGAGCGCTCCTGGGTGAGGAAAGGAGAATAGAAGCTTTTTCAGGGTTCCCAATGCAAAATCTCCAGACACATATAAACAGTTGTTAACTGTACATCGTAGCACATTGAGAATAAGGAAAAGTATAGGGGCCTAAGTGCAAAACGTTTGTCCTATTAGGTTTTCCTTTACTTTCATGTTTTAATCCGCTAATAAAAGTTATAAAATCTATATGAAAACATACAAAAGTCATAAAATAAAAAAAACAAGTTCTGTTTTGTTTATCGTAACGAGATCTATGCAATAGATATATAATATCGTACACATTAGTGCAATTCAAATATTCAACATTAACGATTCCGTTTGTCCATCTATATCCATTTCACATATTGAAGTAATATTATCATTTACTTCCAGATAATCATGCTCCAGATTTTATTTGGCATCTGTATAATAATATTTGAGAAACCAAATCGACCAAAGGTTTATTTCCACCGGTTAAAATCCATGCATGTGATTATACTCTTAAATAACCACGTCTATGAACGTTGTTGCCCATTTACAAAAATTCGACTTTTTTTTTTTGCAAATTCTATACTTCATATAATAATTGCTTATATGACGAACACAATACATATCAATAACATCCATTTTTGTAGGGCTAAACAGGTGATTTAAATACATACACTAACATTTGTATATATTCACGTATCTACGAAGGTCGCTCCATATTACTACACATAATTTCCACCTATAATCTTTTCACGTACGTTTTCTTGCAAACCAAGGATTTGTCTTACCAACGTTGCTTAAAAAAACATACATCTGTCTACGTACAATTATTATTACTCCGTACATGAAATAATTTTTTTATCAACTATAATACTTCGACATAAGACAGGCACTGCGCGGCAACGCCGCACGCCTTTCTAGTGATGGTACTATAAAAGAATTCATGATAAATCCAATGACAATTTTATATATAAATGGCAAACATATTATTTATCAAAGTTTGAAAGGTTGACAAGACAAATTCTACAGAACATAAGTAGCAGTTGAGGTTATGACGTATCCAAGCTTAAGACAAACAAACAAGAAAATTATGTAAAATAGCACAAGACAAAGATCTAGCAACCCTTTTTATATATCTGGCCCCCTGTCTAACTTTCTTGTGCGTTAGGTTATTCCTCTTTCGCCTCTTCCATTGAATCCATAGGAGGTGCTGCAGCTTTCATCTTAGCCTTCTTCAGTGTTTCCACTAAACCTGCCAAGCAGTCATCTGCTTCTCTCCTCTTGACTCGCAGCATGAGGTTTCGATCGATTTCACCGTTCGTCTTGCCCCGCGGCATGAGGTTATCTGCCACGTCTGCCGGAGTTGTGTCGATCTCATCGAGCAGTTGCCCGATTTCACCGAATAGTGAATGCTCAGTGATGTCTAGATAGCTCTTAGCGAGCATCTTGAAGGCCTCGAACCGGCAGTAGGACATCTCAATGTGCCTGTCCATCCTACCACGCCGGATCAGCGCCGGGTCGAGCCGGTCAACGTGGTTCGTGGTGAACACGAAGATCCGCTCGCTGCCGCAGGCCGACCACAGCCCGTCGACGAAGCTGAGCAGCCCCGACAGCGTCACTTTGCCTTTGTTATTCTTCTCGGACAGCTCTATCACCAGGTGGTTGTCGTCGTTTTCTTTGGCTGCCTCTTTGCCCTTGCGCTTGGTGGTGAGTTCGACCTCGATCGCGTCGATGTCCTCGATAACGATGATGGATCTGTCCGTCGTATCAAGGAAGAGCTTCCGCAGCTCGGCGTTGTCCTTGATGGACGTTAGGTCGAGGTCGTAGACATCATACTCGAGGAAGTTGGCCATAGCCCCGATCATGGTGGACTTGCCTGTGCCCGGTGGCCCATGCAGGAGGTATCCCCGCTTCCACGCCTTGCCGACCTTGGAGTGGTACTCCTTCGCCTCACGGAATGCCGTGAGATCCTCCATGATCTCGATCTTCTTGCTGTGGTCCATGGCGAGCATGTCGAACGTCGCCGGGGGATGGTACGGGACATTGATCCACCTGCTCTTCCCTTCTTGGGAGTGGTTGGTGAACAGTAGCCTCTGCCGGTTCATGGCGATTATCTCGCGCCACTGCCGGACGATGCTGGGCAGGTAGGAGTCGAGCACAAGTTTGCGGTGGCGCTTGTGAAACACCAGCCTGTAGCACCAAGGCTCATCGTCGGAATCCCCAGGCAACAAGCTGACGATGGTGGGCCCCCTGTTCTTGGCGGATTTGGGGCACAGCCTCCACCACATGCGAGCTCCGTCGAAATTGTCGACGACCTCCTGGTTCGTGTCCAGACTGATAAGCGGGTCGTCCTTGCTGTTGTTGCCGAGCTCGGCCTTGAGCTTGCTTGCATCATCCAAGCACACCCTTCTCAGGTATGTGGAAACAGCGAAGAACATTTTGTTCCATTCGAACCGCTCTTCACCGTACTCGGAGATGGTGATCTGCTCATAGGGGTTGAAGTAGGACATCACCATGGGAACCAAGCTACAGATGATGTGCCTAGCCTCATCATGGACGTGCTGCGGCATCCTCGACCAAAGCAAGCCGAAGCCAGCCATGGCCGATCCAAACCCTACCCACTTCTCCACAGATAACGCCATGAATGCGCACTGCAGCCCCTACTCACCTAATCAAGCTAGCTAGCTCTCTGTAATGGTTGCCGTTGTGGCTGTGTATGTTTACTGTTGCTTCTATGCACTGGGCTTATATAATCGGTGATTTGGCGCGTAAATTATCCACACGGCATCGTCGAAATTTCGTCGAAGCAAGTGCAAGAGGTGCTATTTAGACTTAGATGACAAGAAGTAGAAATTGCGGGGGGGGCGCTAAAAGACAAGAGTAGATGAAAAGCAACTTTAGGCTCGCGTATGAGCACGAGAGGGGCTATCACCACCATGTTGGGTTTAGCCATTAATTAGGGTGCAGAAAATAATTGTCTAGGATTTTGTTTGGAATCTTTGGATGCGTGGGTGGACCAGGGGCGCTAACAGACAAGACTTGATGAAAAGCAACTTTAGGCTTACATATCCGCACGAGAGGGGCCTATCACCACCATGTTGGGTTTAGCAATTAATTAGGGTCCAGAAAATAATTGTCTAGGATTTTGTTTGGAATCTTTGGATGCGTGGGTGGACCAGAGTTGAGAGCCAACGTCAATAGGCCGGATGGTTAATTGCTATTTATAAAAAAATTGACATGTCACCTAAAAGCTGGAGGCCAAGATTTTTGCAGGCGAAAAAACAAAGGTACAGTACGTGTTCACCCTAGTGAAAGAAGATTTGTACAGGCGAAAGGCCGGCGAAAGATTGCACAGTCCGTGTTAATTTTATGGGAGAATTATGTATTTGGCACTCAAACAAATCAGTCTTCCGCATTAGGCACTAAAAAAATTGGACTTTCTTATTTGGCACCAAGTTAAAATTTTCTACCCTAGATAGCACTGCCGTCCATTTGGTCTAGTAACGGCGTCAAGTGGCTGGTAAAATTATAAATGCCCTTCTTTGTAGCAGAAATACTGGAAATAATTGATGGACGGTGATCGGAGAAATTGCCCAGGCATTGCCTGCGAGACCTGGTGACCCTCCGGTCAAAGACCTTGCGTATGCGTGATCTCACGCTGCCTGCGTCATCGTGATGACGGCTCCATCCCTTGCACCGAGCTAGCGGCAGTTCGGTCGGTCCGGTAGACTGGTGGCATCCTTTCCCCCCTCTGGGTATCCATCGGATACGGCCAGAGGCCAATCCACCGGCAGTCCGGCACCGGGCTCCACTGACTCCCATGCTTTAGTTCCTTCCATGCAGCTTCCTCCCCTCACTCTTTTCAACCTTTCCATACCGCTTTTTTCCCTCCCAAACAACCACGGGGTAAATTAACAACAACGCACAATTAGCAGGCACCGCAAGTTATTTCCTCACATCTTTCTACCTCGCTCGCAGAGAGGAGCTAGTGTGCAGTGCATGTCTAGGTATACCAACAGCCCGAGCACGAAGCTGCTCGCCTACTGTGGGTTTTCTAGATCGACAGCATGGTGGTCTAGGGACTATAGGATCCATCGATGGCGTCGTCGGGCAGCGGCGTGCCGGCGGCAAGGGCGGCCGTGGCGCGGAACGATCTGACCGAGGCGCGTGGCGCCAAGGCGAGGCTCAGGAACTTCCTGCCGCAGCTGGATGACCACCGCGCGGCGTGGGTGCATCTGGAGATCGACGGTGTCCTAACCAAGCTGTCGGCGCGATGTCGACGTTGGATGTGAGTGCCAGGTCGGACGGTCGCGAGGCCACAGCGATCGGGGAGCTCGTGCGGGAACAAGAGGAAACAAAGTTCCAGCAAATGGTGAGCAGCAGCAGGCACGCTCGGGAAGTCCAAGGAGAAATTGGATGCGTGAGTAACAGAGGGTATGTTGGTCACACTAAGAAAAAAAAAAAGCAAGGTCAAAATAGTCAACTAACAGATGAAATGGACGGTAGTGTCATATAGGGGTCGGTAAAAGACAAGAGTAGATGAAAAGCAACTTTAGTCTCGCGTATCAGCACGAGAGGGGCTATCACCACCATGTTGGGTTTAGCACTTAACTATGGTGCAGAAAATAATTGTCTAGGATTTTGTTTGGAATCTTTGGCTGAGTGGGTGGACCCGGCGCTAACAGACAAGAGTAGATGAAAAGCAATTTTAGGCTTGCGTATCACCATGAGAGGGGCCTATCAGCACCATGTTGGGTTTAGCAATTAATTAGGGTCCAGAAAATAATTGTCTAGGATTTTTTTTGGAATCTTTGGATGCGTGGGTGGACCAGGGGCGCTAAAAGACAAGAGTAGATGAAAAGCAAAGGCTTGCGTATTAGCACGAGAGGGGCCTATCACCACCATGTTGGGTTTAGCAATTAATTAGGGTCCAGAAAATAATTGTCTAGGATTTTGTTTGGAATCTTTGGATGCGTGGGTGGACCAGAGTTGAGAGCCAACGTCAATAGGCCGGATGGTTAATTGCTATTTATAAAAAAATTGACATGTCACCTAAAAGCTGGAGGCCAAGATTTTTGCAGGCGAAAAAACAAAGGTACAGTACGTGTTCACCCTAGTGAAAGAAGATTTGTACAGGCGAAAGGCCGGCGAAAGATTGCACAGTCCGTGTTAATTTTATGGGAGAATTATGTATTTGGCACTCAAACAAATCAGTCTTCCGCATTAGGCACTAAAAAAATTGGACTTTCTTATTTGGCACCAAGTTAAAATTTTCTACCCTAGATAGCACTGCCGTCCATTTGGTCTAGTAACGGCGTCAAGTGGCTGGTAAAATTATGAATGCCCTTCTTTGTAGCAGAAATATGGGAAATAATTGATGGACGGTGATCGGAGAAATTGCCCAGGCATTGCCTGCGAGACCTGGTGACCCTCCGGTCAAAGACCTTGCGTATGCGTGATCTCACGCTGCCTGCGTCATCGTGATGACGGCTCCATCCCTTGCACCGAGCTAGCGGCAGTTCGGTCGGTCCGGTAGACTGGTGGCATCCTTTCCCCCCTCTGGGTATCCATCGGATACGGCCAGAGGCCAATCCACCGGCAGTCCGGCACCGGGCTCCACTGACTCCCATGCTTTAGTTCCTTCCATGCAGCTTCCTCCCCTCACTCTTTTCAACCTTTCCATACCGCTTTTTTCCCTCCCAAACAACCACGGGGTAAATTAACAACAACGCACAATTAGCAGGCACCGCAAGTTATTTCCTCACATCTTTCTACCTCGCTCGCAGAGAGGAGCTAGTGTGCAGTGCATGTCTAGGTATACCAACAGCCCGAGCACGAAGCTGCTCGCCTACTGTGGGTTTTCTAGATCGACAGCATGGTGGTCTAGGGACTATAGGATCCATCGATGGCGTCGTCGGGCAGCGGCGTGCCGGCGGCAAGGGTGGCCGTGGCGCGGAACGATCTGACCGAGGCGCGTGACGGCGCGGCGAGGCTCAGGAACTTCCTGCCGCAGCTGGACGACCACCGCGCGGCGTGGGTGCATCTGGAGATCGACGGTGTCCTGACCAAGCTGTCGAGCGCGATGTCAGCATTGGATGTGAGTGCCAGGTCGGACAGTGCGAGGCCACAGCAGTCGGGGAGCTCGTGCGGGAACAAGAGGAAACAAAGTTCCAGCAAATGGTGAGCAGCTTGGCCGCTCAGGAAGTCCAAGGAGAAATTGGATGCGTGAGTAACAGAGGGTATGTTGGTCACACTAAGAAAAAACTGACAAGGTCAAAATAGTCAACTAACAGATGAAATGGACGGTAGTGTCATATAGGGGTCGGTAAAAGACAAGAGTAGATGAAAAGCAACTTTAGGCTCGCGTATCAGCACGAGAGGGGCTATCACCACCATGTTGGGTTTAGCAATTAACTATGGTGCAGAAAATAATTGTCTAGGATTTTGTTTGGAATCTTTGGCTGAGTGGGTGGACCAGGGGCGCTAACAGACAAGAGTAGATGAAAAGCAATTTTAGGCTTGCGTATCACCATGAGAGGGGCCTATCAGCACCATGTTGGGTTTAGCAATTAATTAGGGTCCAGAAAATAATTGTCTAGGATTTTTTTTGGAATCTTTGGATGCGTGGGTGGACCAGGGGCGCTAAAAGACAAGAGTAGATGAAAAGCAAAGGCTTGCGTATTAGCACGAGAGGGGCCTATCACCACCATGTTGGGTTTAGCAATTAATTAGGGTCCAGAAAATAATTGTCTAGGATTTTGTTTGGAATCTTTGGATGCGTGGGTGGACCAGAGTTGAGAGCCAACGTCAATAGGCCGGATGGTTAATTGCTATTTATAAAAAAATTGACATGTCACCTAAAAGCTGGAGGCCAAGATTTTTGCAGGCGAAAAAACAAAGGTACAGTACGTGTTCACCCTAGTGAAAGAAGATTTGTACAGGCGAAAGGCCGGCGAAAGATTGCACAGTCCGTGTTAATTTTATGGGAGAATTATGTATTTGGCACTCAAACAAATCAGTCTTCCGCATTAGGCACTAAAAAAATTGGACTTTCTTATTTGGCACCAAGTTAAAATTTTCTACCCTAGATAGCACTGCCGTCCATTTGGTCTAGTAACGGCGTCAAGTGGCTGGTAAAATTATGAATGCCCTTCTTTGTAGCAGAAATACGGGAAATAATTGATGGACGGTGATCGGAGAAATTGCCCAGGCATTGCCTGCGAGACCTGGTGACCGTTGCCGCTATCCCTCGTAGAATCAAAGCTCCTCCTTGACGTCCGTTACCGCTCAGCAGAGAACGTGCTCGCCGAGATGAACACGGTCCGCAAGTTCAACTAGTATGGATTTTCTATAATTTTCTAACTATTTTCTAAGTTTATATTTATATATATACTACATTTGGGTACGGTGATTGACAGACTACTGCGACGATATCAGGACATGTGAATAAATAACCATCTGTACTAGTTGACCTTGCTTACGTGATCATCTCGTGCGAGCATTTCTCCACGGACGACGGCACCGTGATTTCCCAGCACGGAAGAGCTCCAATTCTCGAGGAAGGAACACGGTCTTCCACGACCGTTGCCGCTATCCCTCGTAGAATCAAAGCTCCTCCTTGACGTCCGTTACCGCTCAGCAGAGAACGTGCTCGCCGAGATGAACACGGTCCGCAAGTTCAACTAGTATGGATTTTCTATAATTTTCTAACTATTTTCTAAGTTTATATTTATATATATACTACGTTTGGGTATGGTGATTGACAGACTACTACGACGATATCAGGACATGCGAATAAATAACCATCCGTACTAGTTGACCTTGCTTACGTGATCATCTCGGCGAGCATTTCTCCACCGGACGGCACCGTACTTGGCCACGGAAGAGCTCCAATTCTACGAGGAAGGGAACACGGTCTTCCACGACCGTTGCCGCTATCCCTCGTAGAATCAAAGCTCCTCCTTGACGTCCGTTACCGCTCGGCAGAGAACGTGCTCGCCGAGATGAACACGGTCCGCAAGTTCAACTAGCTACTTTAACCTTATTTCATGTAAATATGCAAGCTTGAAGTGATTTTGAGCTCAAATTGCTTACAAATGAAAAAAACCACAATAAAGAACCATATATATATATAGTGAACAAAATGAGATAAGACAATGGTGAAAAATGAGAGTATGAGATTGGTAACCTTTACAACTGAAGAATCGACGGAGGAATTGAAGAAATCGACGGAGGAATCGAATAATGGATGGAGGAACAATGGAGGGAGGGAGGAAGCAAGAACACTAGTGCAGTGAGCTTCAAAATGTGCTGAGCTCGGGCTCGGGGAGGAAGAAGGAGACGGCCGGGATATAAAGGGGGGACCTTTAGTCCTGGTTGGTGGCTCCAACCGGGACTAAAAGTAACTTTCTAACCCCGGGCGCAGCCACGGCCCGGGAGTAGACCTTTACTCCCGGTTGGAGCCACCAACCGGGAGCAAAAGTATACCTTTAGTCCCGGTTGGTGGCTCCAACCGGGACTAAAGGTCCCTGCCACCTCTGTCTGGCGCAGTAGCCGTTGGGGCAGGGACCTTTAGTCCCGGTTGGAGACACCAACCGGGACTAAAGGTATTTCTAATCCCGGGCGCAAAAAATTCCGGGACTAGAGCCCATTTTGGCCGAGGATCAAAGGCCTGTTCTCTACTAGTGTTCTTGTGTAAAAAGAGCCGAGAAAAAATAAAAACACGCTTTGCAGAAAGTGCCTCCCATCCGCCACTCAGCAAAGCAAGACTCCAAATATAACGCCGCCCCCTCTTCTCCACGCGCCCCTCCTTCTCCCGCTCCGGCCCGCCGCCCCCCCTTCTCCCTTCGGCCCTCCCTCCCCTTCTCCTCACGCCCCACCCCGCCGCCCCCTCCTTCTCTCACGCATGCATGCGCCGCCACCCCCCCCCTTCTTCCCCCACACACCGCCCGCCCCTCCCCTTCTCCCTTGCCAGCCTCCTCCCTCCTTCCCAGATCTGGCGGCGGGCCCTCCCCCTCCCTTTCCCGGCGGTGGCGCCCTCCCCCCTTCCTCTCTCGGCGGGCGGACGGATCTCATCTGCGCGCCCCTCCTCTCCCCCGCCGCAGTGGCACCTCCCCCCCTCCCTTTCCCGTGGCGCTCCTCCACCGCCTCCACCAGATCCGGCCCCCGCGTGGGCGGATCCGGCGACGGTGGCGCACGGGGAGGCCGGATCCGGCCCCGTCGCGGGCGGACAGATCTGGCGTGCGGCCCTCCTCTCCCAGCTCGGCGGCACCCTCCCCCCTCCCTTTCCCGG